AGGGTGCAAATACGTCTCGATAAGCACCAAACTGATGCACCACTAGGCTAAAACGCAACTTATCTTTGCCTTCCTTGGCCTTCAAGGTTCTTGCGGCATCCGTCCACACTCCAGGATTGTCGGCGGTGTGAATGCTAAACATGGCGACTGGCCGTGGCAAGTTCAGTTACGTACTACTTCCGGTTTCCCTTACTGTGGAGGTTCCTTGGTGTCTGATCAGTGGGTGGTAACAGCGACTCACTGTGTCCTGAATGAATCACCCAGCTCTATCGTCATAAGGTAAAACAAGATACTTAGTTCCCGCAAGTGATATGCAGCTCTCAAACGCCTGGACTAGCTATTTTCGAAAACGGGTTTTTAAGGGAAAGACAAATTTGACTGAAACGAATTTTTGACTGATAACCAAACAGTGCAGATCTGCGGCCTAGAGTACTACGCCTTTTTAGAGTGCACAAATGATATACTATTTTATATACATTCTTTAAACTGGTTATACTACTAAACTAACAATGCGCTGCAAATATTAAGAAAGAGGAAAGAAAAAAGAAACGAAGTTATAGTATAATAACAAATACAATGTTGATTACATGACAAAATCTATGAAATTAAAATATTAAGAGGGAGACAACCTGCGCATTGGAGTTCTACAGTTTCCTATGTCCTTTGGCAGCAATACATTTCTCGATTTTATATTTTATTTTAATTCTAAATTGGAAACCCTCAATATAAGGATGTACATGATTCCTTCTACAATCCCAAATATGATTCTTTGCAATTACAGCAATGATAAATAATTTAATATTAAATAATTTTGTCAGGGGCAAAATGTTTGAGTTGCCACTATAGCTAGCCTGCAAACGCAGACGTGTTTCCGGCTGTCACTTGTCTCCGATATTGCGGGTTAGCTATTTTCGGCGGAGAAAGAGCGACAGCCGGAAGTACGTCTACATTCGCAGCCTACCCTATAGCCTGTTTGGCTACAACGAAGCAAAATTGCTTCCCCTCTACGCCGAGGAAAATGTTACGAGTATAAGTCTACACGAGTATAAGTCAAAATTATCAATGTTCTTTTTAAGACTTGGTGCCCACAGACGTGTACACACCGTTGGAACCGAGCAGGACATTGTCGTGAGCAAAGTGATAACCCATCCATCGTACCACCAGCCGACCAAATACAGTCACGACATCGCCTTACTTAAACTGGAAAAACCAGCTCAGCTAGACAGGTACTTGCGCCGCGCCAGCTTGGGAAAGATTGCAGCAAGTCCGTTTTTAAAGCAGTCTCCAGCAGAAATGGGGGGTGGGAAGTACCCTGCAAGTTCGGGTTTGCCCAATGTCTCCAGCAAGAAAAATGGTGTTCTTTGTGCCATACAACGCTTTATTTATTGACCAAGCTTGTACGGTAAAAATGGATTGATTGTAACCCTCGTTTTTCCATGTGGCTATGGCCCAAAAACCATCTAGATCTAGCAATGAAAAATTTGGCAAATATCCAACCATCTCGACTTCTCACTTGAGGTTTGTTCTGTACAAAATGTTCAGGATATAATTTGGACAATAACTTTCTTCGTGATCGTTGAAATTAACTGAAACAGTTATAACCGTTGTATTTAATAAATTATTTAAGATGCCACTGTTAAAGAAGCGCCTTCAAAACGGCTGACCGTAATTGTTCCTACTTATCCTCTCTCCCGTTATTAAGGTTTGTAAATCTGGTGTGTCTGCCGCAAGCCGTAGCCGAACCAACTGACGGTACCAAATGCTGGATTACGGGATGGGGTCGACTTGCTTCCGGTGGATTGGTTCCAGACTATCTTCAGCAGGTCCAAGTTCCCGTAGTCAGCCGCGCCCGCTGTGACTCAGCCTACCCAGGGAAGATCCATGACTCCATGATCTGCGCAGGCCTAGACCAGGGTGGAATTGACTCCTGTCAGGGGGATAGTGGGGGACCGATGGTGTGTGAGACTGGTGGGAAGTTTTATCTTCATGGCGTCACCAGCTGGGGCTATGGATGTGCGCAGGCCGGAAAGTTTGGCGTGTATGCCAAGACGAAATACCTCATGGCGTGGCTAAACAGCGAAATGTCCAAGAACTAATCTAACGGGCGATGGTTTAGTGGGGGATAACATTAAGCATAAATCGTGGGTTCATAGTACAAAGATTCTTCTTTTAAACTCGTGGAAGAAACCAGAAAGACCTTGTGGCAAAAATGGTCAATAAAAACATTGAAAACGCATTCTCTTGTTCATGGTATATTACTATTGTATTCAGCTATTTCTTCGTGCGCAGCAGAAAAAATTAAAGTCGATAAAAAGTTATTTTTCCCCTTGGGACGCAATCCGCCAAAAGTTCTGCTTTAACCTAGCACTTAGTGAAAACTCAACTGCGTTCTATCTCGCTAAAAAGTCTCCTTGTCAAGAATACATCTTCGATTCGTTCAACAGGCGAAACAAATACCCCAATGAGCATGCGATAGCTGATCAGGAAGCTACAATTGGCGACAAAAGTAGTTGAGACTCTTAGAAAATGACGCTTTTTGATATTTAAGCACTTATTCTATTTTATTTGCTTGTAGCGTTAATTCTCTGATACCCCCGGGCCCCCAATTCAATGTTGTGTAGACGCTGTAGCCTGTGCAGTCGAAGAAATAGAACAATCGATCAACATTATATTGTTTGGGGGAAAGGGGGGAAATGTTTCCAAGACGATCGGAAAATCGAATTTTATTGCAAAGTGTCTCGACACTTTTGTCGCCCATTGTAGATGTAGGAAAGGAACTAAAACAGGCTTGTTTTGATCGGTAGCGAATATGGTGAGGCTTTTCTTTTAGTTTTTCAGTGTTTCATCATAGAATTTGTAACTGAAATTGAAATTGCCCTTTATATTTCGAATTCGGTCCATGGAATTTGTTTTGGATTTTTGTAGGTTTTATTTCTCCACTTGACGATATGTATGCAGTATTGTCTAAAAAAAGTGCACTGAAAGGAAATTGGAAAGGGCAAAATATAGTACACTAACCCGTCTGTGGAATCTGTTGAATGGATGTGGCTGAATGATTTTGGATTCATTAAAAAGCCGATGTTAAAGTCATTTAATTGTCACCTTTCTAAGTTATAACTTGGACTATAAAGTAATAACGCTTGTTTTGCTGCTTGTGTAAACTGATAATAATAGTGCATTTCGTGGATCAACAATTGTTTACTAAGCATGCGCCTTACAAGGTGAGTTCAGAACATTATAACTTAATCAAAAGTTCATATTCTTACACTAAATGTGTTATCAATTAATCGCAGTTTCCTCTCAATATTGTAAATGTAAATGTAAATGTAAATGCAAATGTAAATGTAAATCTTATTTATAGTGGACATGCACTTAGCTATACAAGCACTAAGCTTAGCTAGTTTACAGGCGTGCCACTGAAACAAAGGAAACAAATATTTCAAATACACGTAACATAGTTAAAAGTCACAACTGGCAGGAGGCAGACCAGGTGGCTATTTACAAAGCGTGACCGAGGATTTGAACTCCGGACTACCGAGAAACGCATCCCGCTAGTGGCAGGGTGGAGGCCTTGAGCCCGGGACATCTGGATTACAGCACCAACGCCCTAAGCCACTCGACCACGCTGCCTCCACATCATTTAATTCCGAGAAAGACATTGCTCAATAAAGGAAACTGACATTGCCTTAAATTTCCCTCCGTCCCTTGAAAATTTAATATCTGATCTTTCATTTTTTTAACGTAAACAAAGGAAATGAAATTTTGGAAGTGTTTTGACGTTAGCTGTTAATTGAAAACAATTTTATTTCGTGAGATCCATGCCCGCTGTTCTTTTAGGTTTATTTATCTTTCTGGAAAGGAATATATTCCAACCGAGCCTTAAAAGGTTGAAACAGTACACTGAGCAGTTTTGGTTCTGAAATAACATTACTACTGTTATTAACATTAAGTTAATCGTTGCTCAACGATTTAGGAATCATGGCATTTTCTAAGCCACTAATCACACAGTGTTGGATTTAGGTTTTAGCTGTTTCCTCACGAGACACTACGAAAGAACTATGGTTACTTGACCTTTGAAAGATTAACCCTAAATATTCGCCAACACACTTAAGAAGACTCCAAAGGTGTTGACGATAATTTTCACTGAAAGCGAAACATATGCAAGGGTTTATAGCACAATTTGTGTAAGCCAGAAACATACCAACTGTTGACCAATTGCTTATGACGCCACAAGACAATGCACTGCCATCTCGTGGATGGGAATGTAAGAAGTAAAAATAGTATGAAGAGAGTGGCGCCCAGCATATAGCAAACCCTAAAACGATGGCAATTGCCATCCTCAGAACATTCCTGTGTCTTTTTAGTCGTTGCTGTTCAGCGTTGGAAGATGGCTCGCCTATATGGTTCTGTGACTTAAGCTTTACAAATATGCTAGTGTAAAGAATGATTATTAAGCAGAAGGGAATGCAAACCAATAACAGCAAAAGTATTATTAAGTAAATACGATTGTCCGAGGTCTCTCCGAATGCCTTTTTCCATCGAAGTTCGCAGGCAAGTCTCCCTGGGTATTCAACAAGCTCGAAGCCGATCAAATGAGGGGAGAACAAGATTATGGCGGCAATCCATGTGGTGAGAATGAGATAGGGGCACAGTTTTGAACTGATAATTGGAGAACGGAGTGGAAATACTACAGCACCAAATCGATCCACTGCGATCAGTAGCAGGCTTTGAATAGACACGGCGATGGAGACGTTTGGTAGGAACTGGACCAACTTACACGTGGCCATGCCAAGAGCACCACGGATTGGCCAGGAGCTGTGATTTACCTGCGCTAGGATCAATGAAATGAAGGAAATTGGCATCACCAGATCAGACATGGCCATGTTAACGATTAAAAAGTTGATTGTTTTGCGCATGGCTTTGGTCTTATAGACGATTATTCCAATGAAAGTGTTTCCAGTGAACGAAACGACGAAAATCAAGCAGTAACCAAAGGTTTCTGCGATTCTTTCCGCGGTACTATTACTTGAACTTAAGCAGCCCGACGGAGTCAGTCGAGTTCCGTTCATTGTTATGCTTAAGTTTTCTGAAATCTTGAAAGCTTCTGAGTACCACTGGATAGTGCTTTCACGCAATTATTTCTTCAACTGTTTTCTTACTTGTAAGCAATACTATAATAAAATGCTTTTCCAAAAGGAAACTGCAATCATAGTGGCAGTTGTTATCAGTCACTCGCGTTTCAGGAAATTGGTATACATTGTACCCAGAAAATGACATGGTCTACGATGTGATCATGACATTATCGTGCAGTCTTCATAAAACACGGTGGTAACGTCGTTGGCCAGTACTGAAGACGGGTTAAAACCGTTCATTTGGCGTCTTTTAATTAACTTATAAAATAAGAAACTGTCAAAAAACATTGAATGCGTTAAATGTAATTTGTTTTATCTTTTTTGGTGATCTAGCGAGCTAAAACAGTTCGTACTCAGTAGCCAGTTTTTCAACGTAGAGGCTTTAGGTGGTTTTATAGTTAGGAGGCAAAATTGCGACGCACAACCGTGGCAGAACTTACTGATACCGACTAAAAATAATTATAATGACAGATAATTTCAGCGAGAATATCAAACAAAGAAAAGAATGTTTCGTAAATCAGGGAGGAAGAAAAACTCGAACCCTTAGGCGATTGTTAATTCTATTTCCAAAGATTTAATAACATAGTACTGGATAACTATTGAAATTATAGTTTGAACATGCAATAACAAAATGAATTAAAATAAAATAAAACAAAACGACATAAATCATATATTGACTTCTGAAAGAAAGGGGAGAAAAAGAGATAAGATTAAAGCAATAAAATAAAGTAATACTAATGATGATTTTGATGATAAAAAAGTTTATAGTCTGATTTTAATTTTTTTCCCCTCAAAATTAATTTTCGTCCAGATATTTTAGTATCAAACGCATTCTAAATGGATCTTATGAAAGAGACAATAGACGTGCAGGAAATTGAATGTAAAGAAATGAGAATGTCATGGGCTTCTTGAATATCATAATAACTCGCGTCAAAAAGACATCAAATATTTGAAAATTTGAGATGGCTCTGAAGCTTCTGCCACAGGTAACCGGCTTAACTGTTGCTATGGTAACCTGTTGACCAATGATTGGGTATTTGTGTGAAACCGATGTTGTATCATCACTCAGTATTGGTATCAAAGTATTGGTATCAAAGCATAACTTCCGGTCAGGGCTGGGAAACTTTGCCAGCCACCTTAAATAATGTGAATTTTTAATGACTATAGCTGAAATTTCGAGGAACGGAAACAATGTGTTTGACAAAAATCGTATCTGTGATTTCCTCAATTAAAACCGAATTTCACTTTCAACTCGGCGAGAAACCTGATGCCTTACGTAAACATAAGGATACTTTGTTCATGTTTATTGGTACGTCGATGTCTAATTCAATTTCCCAGTGAAATTAAAATTGCCACTGGAGAATTGCTCCGGTACAAGTAAGCCGGGAGTCCCGTGCTTTTTGTGAACACTGCGTTTTTGTGCGCTATGCATAATTAATGACTTTTGTCTCACAATTATGCAAAACAATTTAATGGGAACATTTTCCAGTTATTGAAATTTAGTCACGAGAAACCTCATCGTTTTTATATTGCTTTGAGGGTCTTTTGTATAATTTTTCTATGAAAAGCGTTGTTTAAGCAGTTGTAGAATTTCTCGGCGAACACAAAAGGTAAGATATGTTTATTGTCTATTTTTTTCCTCTCGATTTATCCTTGATGATCAGTAAGAGTCGCGAATTACTTCAGTAGTAATAAGTACTAGAGCTGTAGAATGATTAAAAGCGAAAAGCGAAATACGAGTCAGAGCTTTCATCGGGAAAATTCAAGTGAGTGAATTTCTTGCGTTTGTAACACTGAACAGTAAAATGCGAAATATTTCCGTTACTTTATGGAGATGGTTTAATGGCAACAAGATAATCATAAAGGTGTTCCTTGCTTTACCTCAGAATTTGCCTTCTATGGTGAATTGATCTGCCAATATCGGCACATTGTCACGTTTTTGCAACTCGACGCAGTCTCAACTTGACGTCTTCTGTTAAAAGAGGAAGAGTGTGTCATTCCTTGATTAAGTGAACCACTGACCAAACAATGTTCGCAGTCGCACAATGACAGTTTTCTCATCAATATTTCACAGGCGCTAAGTTGTACGCTTGAGATCGATACAGGTTGCAGTTTCCAGTTTTCATGTACAAATTTCCGCTTAGCAATGGGATACTTAAACGCTATACTAGCAATGTCCACTAATCTGATTGTTTCTGGGCTGATAGTTGCATCGCTGATTCAAAACGATCGCGCGCGAGTCACTCTTTGAGGAGAAAGTATTCTTTAATTGTTGGTTTAAAAATATCTCTAAATTGTAAGTTTTAGACCGTAATTCGTTGGAATTTTTTCCTAAACCGGCGGAAGCTAGAATACTCACCTTCGTTTTCTATGAGCCGATAGTCAGCACGCCTGCGCCTCGTTGACTATGCTCTCATTAAAAACTTAGACTCGAAGTCTGTATTGTTTTTCTTTTTCGGTCAACGTAGCTCGGTCTTTACCTTGAATTTGGGAAACTTTGCAGGGTGTTTTCTCATTTAAGTGCCTATCATTTCTGTGTTTCTAACGCCCACTTTCTCCATGACTAACGTGTGAAAAAAATGAGTGACTAACACGATTAAGTCACCCGTTGCAAGTTATCATCGCCATTTGATCTATGAGATCATAGCTGAACGTGACCAGTACGAACATAATTGGTAATGTAACTTGAAAGTGAGTAAGTACTACCGAGTATTTCATCGCTTTAAGACTAAATTATTACCAAAAGCAGGGGAAAACCTTTCGTTTCTTCCTATTCGCTTACATTCGCAGCCTGCAATTACAACTTGTTAAACCTCGAGGTCAGAGTGGGTAAGCCATATTTTTTGCCCACTTGATTTGAGAAATTACCTACTGTTAACATGCATATATCATTGTCATTTATTTTAAATTGAGACTTGTCCGATCCGGCGTTTAAATTTATTAGAACCTGGTTTGTATTGCTATCCCATCGTCTATTGAATACTAGGGTTTTTTTTTTTTTTTCACTCACTTCATTTCTTTGGAGTGAAGTGGAGTAAAACGAATGTAGTACAGTAGGCAAACATAGTTCTTTAATTTCAGCGCAGATTAGGAAATGTATGTCTTGAACTCGAATAAATGTCGGAGCTTGGGATTTAATCTAGAAAAGAGGGTTACTTTAATGTGATTGTTTGTTAGGACTAATTTCTCTAAAATTCGGAGTTTTGCCTTAGTAAAGGCCACCAGGTGACATAAAGAAACAATCGATCTCAAAGACTCAACCCAATAGCGTAATTTTTAATGATTTTTGTCTAGCGTTTATGTTCTGACTTGGTGCAATTAAAAGAGGCACAAAGGTGAAAACATCTATCAAAATTGTCTCTAAAATTTCGAAGAAAGCAAAATACGCAGTTTATGATTTAATACGGCTATTGTTACCTCAACGATATGGCGCGTAAACTGTATTTTATAGCATTAAATACTTCTTGATCTAACATAAAAGTCTAAATTACTTATATTTCTTTTCTTTTGTCCCTGTGATTTAATTTGTACTTAAGGGCGTCACACCGTTGCAAACAAATTTCACTGAGGTCATTTTTTTAGCAGCGTATTTTCACTGAATAAACACTTGTGACAGACTTGCGAAATTATGACGTAGCTAGGAAAATATATAGGGTTTAATATTGGATCTCGAGAAATTGAATTAGACGAAATTATTTAGTGCTATGCTCTGCGCCTTGAATACAGAGTGGTTGTATGACGTAACGAAGCGGATGCTTCTGCAATGTGTCCATGCTAAACAGTAGAGGAAGATCTTAAGAGAATATTTCGCCTAATTAATTAATCCAGTTGAATTGTGGAGAGTTTTGTTGTGACAGTTTTCTTTTTGTAACTATTTGAAAATGTTATTTGCAATTTTTTTTTGGTAAATGACATCTGAACACAAACTAAGGGAGGTTTAAATGTAACTTGCCACTCAAAACTTCTATTTTGCTATTTTTAGCTCCTGTTTAGATATGATATTTTCATTTTAGATCTAGCTAACAGCAAATCATTTTCATTTCAACACTGACTTCCGTTCACAATTCAGAATCGGTGGAATATTTGGCCCCCTAAGATGTGAAAATTGTTCCCCGAAAGACTAAGAAAAAAATAATAATCTTAAGAACATAAGCCGAAAGAACTAACGTTTTACGATTAGAAATTGTTCGTCACATAAGCGAATAACCGCTTTTACTGTCATTTGGCAGAGAAAGTTAGCTTGAACGGAATTAAGAACATAGGGAGAAAAAGATCGGTAAAGAAAACTTATACAATGGACCAAGGAAGCGAAATCTAGCAAGGCTTAGTCACAAAGCAGCATTGAGTTTAGTGGTATATCTAGCAAGTGTTCTTTTATTTTCCTTGTCCTATCCCTTGATTTTTGATTTCATCTTTCAAGAATCCTTACATTGGAAACTTCGGCAAAATGCCATTAATTAACCATATCTTCACAGTAGGCGAAACGATTCTGATTGAAAAACGTATTTGAACAACCCGACACAATACGAAACCACTAATTGAAAATATGAATAAAACTCTTGATATAACACTGGAAATGCAAATTTGCTGGCTAAAAGGATGGATTATTCTCCCGGAAGAAAAGCGAGTGAAGTAATTACGTGGGCCACAAATTTGAAACATAATTTCGGAGAAGGTGACGCGAGAAAGATGTCTTCCGCGCGCGTTGTTTTAATTTTGTTATGATTTCTAAATGCCTCGGGAACAAGATTCTTAGAGCCGAGGTTAATATTATGCATTTGGAGATTTTGACATTTAATTTGCATAAGGCTTGGTTCGATTCACCTGTCGTCCTGTCGTTCATCGATTTGTCTAAAGATCAAAGCGAAATTTAATCGCGCTCAGCTAAATTCGACGCATCAGCAACATCGACGAGTTTTGGAGGCCATAAAAGTGTCTATTTCTATTCAGGTAAGGTTGTTCTTCGATTTTTTAGCCAGAAAGATCACCATATCTTGTAGTTTCAACGAGTGATTTAAAATGTTTTTCTCATTTTGACATTACTACGGCGCAACATGAGAGTTTTCGGTGCTGTGAATTTGTAATTTGACAACTTTTGGTGTTTTCTTCGTTTTTAATCTCTCTGTTGATATTGTTTCGTTCGCTTTAGATTCGCTTTAACGGCTGGTGAGAATAGATTTGTGTTCACTAAATTCAAGGTGTTTGCCACGAAATTCAAATAGAAGTTGAAAACCAAAACAATAGCAAATCTATTTGCGATGAACTCAACAAAAAAAATTGAAAACTCCTACTAAAGGAGATATAAAAAATGATTGGAAATATAATCCAAACGCGCCAACGTGTGAATTTTTCATGGTTAGATCTTTCAGGTTTTACTGTAGCTGACATCCGGAAATGTAAAGCGGGGGACTGAAGATCGGCTAAACCCACACCAATTGTCTTTCAACGCGTAAGAAACGTAACGTCATGAGGACAAAATGCAGAAGACAGATCTGGTTGCATAAAATCTACTAGCTGCCACATCTCTGATGAACGCTGCGACAGTTGTAAGTATAGACTGCATTTTATGTTCTTAGTACTGGTTATTGACTAATGTGCATCACTCAGATTAAGATTTTGGCAAATAATATTATATGAACTAAGATTTCCTTGCGAATAAGTAAACCATCTTCTTGTTTGAGCTTTTAATCGAGGACTGTTAGACAGTTTGAGAATTACCGACTCGCGGCCGTATTAGTAGTATGTTGCCCCGTTGTTAAGTTCTTTGCTTATTTGGCATATTCTTTATTCCATAAAAACGTTTTCTGCATAAATGAAATAATAAATTTTTTAGATATACGAGGTCACTGGGAAACGAAGAACTACATAGAAATAGTCATTAATTTTAGGCAGATTACCTGTGCTGAATGATTCTAAAACATGCCATTAGTAATGACGAAATAAGTTTAATGGCGAACTCTTTTGCAGGCAAAATATATAACAAAGCAATCATTTCAGCTTTTATTCGTATAAAAATTAAATACATGCACGGTGTTTAAAAATTCAAGTTTCCAGTAGTTCTTGCAGCTTGAAAGAAAACAATTTCATCGTGGGTAAAAGCACGCCAAAAGAATCAATTTTAAGGTTACGTAAAATCTCTCTCCTGTTATTTCCCCAAATGCCTTGAATCTAGCATCAATGAACAAATAATTGGCAAGAAAATATGAAAGCTAAATGATCCTAACTGAGAAATCAAACTGTGGCAAATGAAACGGTTTCATCTCTGACCAGTCCCTAAGAAATATTTATCACTAATATGAGTTGATGTGCACGCAAGTTACAATCAACTTCAGCATTTTCGGGACCGCTTTTAATTTGTTTTCTTGTGGGCTGAACTAAAAAGCTTTGATTTATTGTATTTCCATCAATAGATGTGTAATATGACAGTTTTTGAGCGGACTATTTTCTTGGAAACAAGTTCTATTTTCAGTCAGGGCCCCATTCTTTAGCTGATAAGTTCACGCTGACAATGAATACTCTCAGCGAATTAGCAGCGACTTTCGTTTCTATTTAAGCGCATTTTACCACTTGTAGCGAAACTCTATGACAAATACTCCCGCAACTGTAGGATTTCAATACCATATTTGCGCTTAATCTCATGTGAAGGATACCTGCGGCGATTTTTCTCATTAATATCTCTTGGTCAGATCTAATGTTTACCTCTTGCCTCATATACGTCATTCACATGAAGTTCTGGGGCTATAAACATGAAAATATGTTTTTCTTTTTCTTACCATCGCAATTGCTTCACGCTCTTCCCTCTTGCATTTCGGCGTTTTAGCCTATACCCTTATCGGTAAATTTTAAGTGGTATGAATTTTTCGAGAAACTTTTTGCCTTAGCCAAGAGTCAAAACATTTTTTCCATTTTTGATCAAAACAAACTGGTTACACTCTCCGTATTCTGTCCATGTTCCAGATTTTCACAGTCGTCAAAACATATGCACCGTGTTTTGTATTCACTTCATCTCTTTTCATTATCGTTAAAGACATGATTTTGTACCAGTTCGATGGTCAGTTCCATCTCATCACGAAGTTTTTAGGCCAATTTACAATGTTTTCATCATCAGTTTGTCAGTCCTATTTAGGGTTACAACTAAACGATTTTAGATTTGTCTTGAAATGTTTTTTTAAACACTTCTGTGTTTATGCTGATTTTGTTCCCTTCATAATTTCGAGTGGGGTGCAAACCATATCAGTAATCCGTTTAAGTCAAGACATAGTGGCTCGGAAATTGTGATTTGTTTATCGCTGATATGTTACTAGTTCATAACCTGTACTACATGTACCTGAGACCTACAAGGATTCTTGGCAATATACCTTTCCTGACGATCATTAACTTGCAAAACAACTGTTGATAAATAAGCCGAAAAAACAAACAAGTAATAATTTAAAAAAAACGAAATAATAACAATAATAATGATAATACTCAAGAAGATTGCTGCTGTTGATCAGGAACACTTAAAATTTGTTTTGTCTGACTTGTTAAAGCTCTTTGTAATATCAAAAGGAGAAAGGAAAAACAGGAAGACACATGAAGATTGCAGACGTCTGAGCATTTTGCATAGTAAATCTCGGGAAATCAATAGAGATGCTATAGAGACGCTACAGGAAGCTTTAAAGCAAGTTTTTGAGAAGTTCTTCCTGAAACTCAGTTATGCAAGATCGCGTTAAATTTATCTCCCATTGGTAGCAGAAAGATGTTTTGATTCCCTCGATCCCAAACATTAACATTAGAAATGCCATGACTGTGCAGAATAGAGCGCGATAAGGCACGAAAACAAAGACAAGAAAGCAAAAGCAAAAGCGAAAGTTTTGATTTTCTTTCTTTCAGTTAATCGTTAGAAGCGAGTGAATTTGATGATTCAACAAATTTGCTGCAGGGTAGACTGCGTAGCCCGGAGGGTTTCGCGCGAGTTTCTCACGTGGTTGCTCGCAAGAGTTCCCTCGAGGCTTCGCCATTTGACGGCGTTCGCGGCTACGCCGAAACGAACATACGCTCGGGAAATCCCGCGGGCTTCTCAAACTAGCAACAGGAAGAATTGTCTCCCAGTGACCTCATGGAAAATGGAAGAAAAATCTTATGTAGCTTTCATTAGTTCATCGTTTTCTCTTTTGTCACATGTACCATTCTCCCCCGCCCTGCCTTAACCTCCCCCTCCTCTTCCCCAACGTTGATCTGACAAGATAACTCCCTACTCTTTGAAGGAATGCGCAATACTCTCACTTTGATAGTACATGGTAATATTATTACACTTATTTACTTAGATAATATATGTACATCCTTGTTTTCTCCATCCACTTCATGCGTAAAAAGTACATATAGAAGCTAATTACTTGTATAAATCCTGGTACACACTAAGATTCCCTTAATATCTAGCGAAGAATGATGTTAGGTGGGTAAACTGATCAATGCAATTAGCCAATCCCAGTAATAAATTTATGCAACAACGGACATCTTGGTATAATTAACAATGTCATGAAAGTCAGGAAAGCTCTTCCTGGAAAAATACACCATCAGAAATCAATGGAAGGCGGTATCTTTGGGGTAAAAAGAACTGTAGTCCTTTCAAACCCAGTCACGTGATTTTAACCCTCTTGCTGATCAAATGGCTTAATAATCTTTGTGTGAATTAACGCTTTTATCATCTCTTCCGCGGATCTTGTCATTCTGCATGGCTTTATTAGTAGGAACTTCTTACGTCCATGACTAATTTATAGTCTTCTTCGTTTTATTTTGCATATTAACATCTTTAAAAAGTGCATAACATGTAATTTTTCTTCTCTAACTCTCGCTCACTCTCAGGCGGGAAGACGGGCAGACGACAAGGCCGAGGAGGCAGGCGTTTTGGTATTCTTCTTTCACCTTTGTTCTTCTTTTTATTGTTGCATTTCGTTTCCTTGATCTTTGTGCACGAAGCATGCTTAGTCAGTTTAAGCATGAACTGCAACTGACCTATCTACTTATCACTCACACTGTCGCTTCATCACTGTACAATGAGACCACTTTTAATCTTTTCTTTTGCACTCACTTTGCACAGGCACGTGACTGTCCCCCAAAAGTTCCACGTGCACCTTTAAGAATCTATAGCGTGACTCGTGACATAGTTTGAAATATTTCACGATATCAGCTGTATGAAACGTACTAGTTAAAAGAACATTATAAGGTTGTTGGTAAGTACTTCACTGTACACCTTACGCTAGCTTAAACCACAACGAGAAATTGTTTAATTTTAACAAAAGCAACGTAACAAGACGACTCTTCAGGCTGGTTCACTCACGCAACACAAACACAAGAACTGTATGGAACCTGGCACGAAACGTCCCAGGCAATTTTCACACCACACTACCGTATTTTGACAACTTTTACCAAAATAACGCGTATAGCACAAACACTTACATTACAAGACGGTGCACTCACAAAAGCTGCTTAACGACCGCGTTTTCCGCTGTCGATCCATAAAATTTGCATATTTTGTTTCTTCGAAAAGTTCTACTCCGTTATAAAAAATCTTTTTGTTAAAAAAAGTACTTGAAGGACTCAATTGAATCGCTATTATTTGAAATTCTAATCTCGAAAAAGTTCACTGAATTTCTTACTATATATGTTCTTACTATATGATATGCCAGTTCCAGGCTCTCTGTTGATGGCGACGATTGAAAAAGTATGGGGACAAATTCGTATCACAGAGCAAATTTTTATTTCTTGAACTACAGGTGATATTTTCACGAAATCGCCAGCCAAGAGAACATTTTAGATAACATGGCTTTCCCGCCTTGGATGCGATCGGTCTTGCTGAGAAACGCTCTTTTGTAAGTGCACCTTCTTTTGGCAGCTTAAGTTTGCCTGCTCACAGATGGTGGACTTAAGTCGTAATTTACCTTACATTACTCAGTTCGCGATATACGTAGTCATCAATTATGCTTTCTGCAAGCTACTTGTAAAGCGGTTGTAAATGTGTTTGCTGTTATTGTTTTTATTTCAGTCTCATTTTGGGCGAGACCAATCTTGTTTTTGCACTTTAGTGGGTGTTACTGTTAAAAAGCTCGAGTTCGATTTAATGTCACTCGTTTTGCTTCCGTTTGCTTGGGTGTTGTCCTGATCACTTCATGCCATTTCACTTTACTTTGTCTGCGCTAGTTTGTTTAGTGATACGATAAGCTTCCTTGTGGCAACTTCAGTTCCAGTGGTTTTTCCATACCCCAGTAACTGTCACAAACTACACTTATCTAAAAGCTAGAACCACGATTTTGATTCGCACACATTTACATGGAATTGCTGGTTTAAAATACCATCTTTATTTCTTTTCAGATAGGCGAGGGTGACAAGTTGATCAACGTGGTTTTGCTAAATGGAGAGAGGCTTAATGTCAGAGTTCAGGTAAATTAAGCTTGACTTGAAATGTTCCAGTCGTCAACTTTGACATTCCCAAACGAAAGTATCTCTTTGGAGTTGAATTATATTATATTGATATTCTCCAATTTTAGGGTTCCGCCACTGGACAAGACTTGTACAGCATCATCACGGATCATCTTGGACTTACAGAAACTACTTTCTTTGGCCTTATGATCATAAAAGGTGAGTATAGTCACATTATATTGCGCCTGCTACATTTGATGTGCGATATGCCACGGTGAATCGCTTAAATATTTTTGACACATCAGATTGCTTTTGCTCAGGGGTTGTGCAATTCCTTTAGCCAATCAAAAGTTAAAAAAGCAGCATCTGCAAGTGTCTGATTATTGAGCTGGTTCCTGGACGAACTCATATTTGACTGGCCAGGCCAAGGTTGACAGTTAAAACGGCTTAACATGATCAGAGCTTGATTACATAAGCATCGATCTGGTACAAACTGATTTCATGTTTATTTCATCTCCAAATCGGAGTGAAAGTTCAAAAAGCATTTCCTATCAGACTTAAAGATATTTTATTACTTCATGTGTGTATTGTTGCATATTTAGATGGTGAGCACGAGTTCTTGGACTTGAATGAGAAACTTTCAAAACTGGCAAAGTTTGCGCCCCATCTCTGGAAAGATGACGTAAGTGACTCAACGAATATTTATTTCTATTTGCTATTTTCCTCGATCAAGACAAAGGACAGAAACAGAAAGCAAACAAATAAGCAGATAGACAAACGAAAACCATAATTACAATTTTGAAACGTAGCCATGGGAATTTTGAGATGGTCGTCATACGAAGACAGAGAATGTTACCAAGAGGACCAATCAACCTGCTTGAAGTCCACCGATGATTTAAATGCAACCAGCTGACAGCCAACGACAGCAACAAAATTATATTTCTAGTACAAGTACAGTCTGAGCAAGACACCAACATATCAACCCTATCCAGACTGGAGGGGGAGCGGGGAGCTTTTGCAGCCTACGGCCCATTTGTAACTTTAAACGAGTCGAGGGAATGGTAATTCCAAATTTGGCGGCTTAAGCTATGTGCTATATATGGGAACAATTTGATATGACATGTGACTGGTTTTGATTATTTTAAGTCCGTTTTGGTGCTTTTATGACATGTTGCAGACCGTCATAAAATCCAAGATGACGGATCCAAGATGGCGGGTCTAAGATGGCGGCTATTCGGACGTCACATGACGTTATCATTGTATGTTATGGACCCTGGCAGTTGCTATAAGTTCTCTATGTTTCCTTGTCACATCTTTAATACATTTCATACCTCACGAGTTACAGGGCTAAACCTCAAAAGCCCTTTCATCTATTGCTTAATCAGCGTGGGTGACGGTAATTCTTTTTTTCTCCCTTAGGTTTCCTGTAATTCCTCTCTGGTTTTTACGATCTTCTTCAGGGTCAAGTATTATGTGGAGAATATTTGCCTCTTACAGTAAGTATTTATGGCAATTATGTAGGATTCTGTGCCTCCATGCAGCCCCAATATAATCTCTCTGTGATTGCATCCTCACCGTTAGACAACAGTCAACTCGGCACTTGTACTACCTGCAGTTGAGAAAAGATGTATTGGAAGGAGGGATTTACGTTCACGAGGAGACCTCCATGCTCCTAGCTTCCTACGCTTTGCAGGCTGAAGTAGGAGACTACAACCAGACTCTCCATGGCTCGGACTACTTTGTTCCCGAGCACTATCTTCCACAGAGAGTAAGTTGATGTTTAGCGAAATTTAAATAGAACCTCATAAAATGGGTTTCAGTTTGTCAACACAGATGGATGTCTCCGGTCGTTAATTAGAAATGTATTAAAAATGTTATCGAATAAAAATATTGTTAACATCCACACCTAATCTTAGAACAGTCCATGTAAGTCAAAAAACAATGAAGATGTGGTATAAAATAGGCATTGAAATAAATCAGAACCTTGCCTTTTTCTTTTCTCGTAAATAAAACTTAAATGATTTTCTATTTGAAGGCGATCGCCAAACTCACTGCTTCTTACATAAAGAAGCATCTCCCATCAATGCACAAGACTCACACTGGTCTAAGTGATGCTCAGGCGGAGATCGAGTACTTAAAGGTTAGTGGACCAAAGCTCTGACTTGCTTAGAAGTTATTAGGGACACCCATAATATTTAGTAGAAGCACAAAGCTATAGATTAATTGATATAAGATTAAGTATAATCCAAATCGTGACAATAGTAATGGAAGACAATATAATTTGTGTATGTGCGGACGCATTTGCTTAGCCATCGATCATCAGCGCTGTATAAAATGCAGGATGACTCCCCATCTTTTTATCCTAGTCATCCATACAAATCGCTACAAAATGCTTAAGGATTGAGATCATATTGCACAAAAAGTTGACCCATGTCCTTGTTAGGACTAGGGTAACTTAATTACGGGACGCCAAGCAATGTTTATATATTTCGTTCTGAAACCCATGTAGTCGTTGATGTTGATTTTTAGTTATATTTCACGGAACCTTTCATTTTTGCAGGAGGCACAGAAACTACAGGAATATGGAATTATATTTAACAAGGTTTCCAAGGTAAATTCACCTTAATATTAAACTTTGAATTTTGACACGTCTACAACGCTGTTGCCTTGATTGTGAGAGTAACTTGTGTACCAGAGCACTTCTACAACACGCCGAGAGTGACCAAAGCGATAGGTAGTGGCAATATCAGCTGTCACTTTATCAACGACTGTCTCTTACCTTTTGCAATTGTGCCAGCTTTCGCATTTTCTATGAACTCATCCGCAACCTATTATATTATTGCTGCAGTATAAAAAGGACAAGAGAGGCAGTTTCAGTTTAGGGATCAGTGTGAGAGGACTCATTGTTTATGAGGTAAGTGTGTTACTAAGTACCGATTCTGAATTGTTCAGCCCAATGATATTACTCGTACAATAAATCGGAGCATCAGACGTGAGTATTTACGGTTGCAATATTCTAAGGGCACGAATGATCATCATAGTTATGTACATGCCGGTGGAAAATTTAGGCTTGAACGGCATTCGAACCCAAATTACTATATCCTTGAACCGTTAACTGTCTTAACTGACTTGACCATATCACCAACTCCTCTCTAAAGATATTGTCGTTGCTTTGTTGGCACTGTAACTTTTCATCATCATCAGTTCTCGAGGCGCCAGTAGGCGCACAAGGCCGTACTGTAACTTTTGCTGTATTCAAATTCACTCTATATCGGTCTACTCTTTGCAGTGCTAAATAAATGTGTTTAACTCGTCGTTTCTTTTAGGAGAGAGGAATCGTCAAAAGTCCAACGTTTCGTCATCCTTGGCAAAACATTAAAAGAATGGCATTTCATGTACGTATAGCTACTCAGTTTATACTTAAAAAAGAATTACATGCTGATAAGTTCAAGAGCTGAAAAGAATTATGAACATCGCTGAGCTCTCAAACTTTTAATGCATTTGTTTAAAATTATGAGATGTTGACGACCTTATTTATCTAGTGGTATCAATTCCCAGTGTTGAACCACGCCAACACCAATCACCAATGCAGAACTGAATGATGCGTAGTTCAAATAGAGAAAATCATGAATAATTCATCCCATTGCGTTATTACACAGAGCAATCGACAATTTACGCTAATCCTAATTACTACTTTGATTCGTCTTTTACTTTTAGCGGAGACGGTTTTTTATCGAAGCACACGGTGACCCGGAGACATCCAAGATGGTGCTGTACACCTGCAGCTATAAGAAGTAAGTTCGATTAATCCTCTTAGCTCTATTTCTTGAAGAGCGCCATACATTACCATAACGTTGAAACCAAAACAAGAAGCCGTAGGCTTTTTGTTATGACCACGGCATATGATAATAAATAATATTAATGCGATATTTTTAGACATTTGCTATTAACTACGTCATGTTTAATTCAACAGCTTTGTCAAAGGAATAGGTCACTTTCGACATATTAAAACTCAGCTTGATAGTGAGGCCTAGAGAACGCAAACGAAAGAAATGATGAAACATGTCATTCATTTTACTTTGTTTGCGTCGAAAAAGGTCTATTGTGTGATAACGAGTTGTGTGATGAAAGGGAATCCACAGTCACGAGGATCAATATACGATTATTAGTATTTTAGAATTTGTTTCCCTCCACGCCTGTTTTTTTCATTATGGCGTCAAATGTTTGTGGCGCAAGATCGCGGTAATATTAAACAAACGTATGGGAAAAAGAATGATTGATAATTCTCACCGAGAGCTCTTCCTAAAATAAGCGCGTTAAATTATAATAAATTACCAACAAATAAATTACCTGGTACACTCAGGAAAGAGAGAATTAAATCAACTGAAAAGGTGGCTTAGGGAAACTTTATTAGCACTTCTAAACTATGTCCTTCTTCTATTAATAGAAGAAAACATGTGAGAATTTACGAGCTTCTTTCCTTTGTCACTGATCTTATTTTCATTTCATGCAAAATTTCAAAAATGTTATGAAAAGGAAAAAAAGATAAAAGGAAAACAGAAGCAAATAGTCAAGACCGACATAGACTACCCTTAGCGACGAATGTCATCTTGTCATTTCGGGATCTTGTATTGAGTGGGTCAGTGCTCCTCAGACACAGCATGATTCTAGCGGGAAGGGAGATTCTTTTTCTTCTGATATGCTTCATACTTTGGTAAGATTAATAACGTAAGGAAGTTATATTTACCGTGTGATTATGAGCTGGCAAACATGTTTATCAAGGTGGGGGAGGATTTCTACGTAGCTACAAAGACTCCCTCATTCCCTCATTTGAATAATCAGCATTATATTACTGCGCTCACTTACGATCTTTTATCAGTATCTCACTTATTATTGACATCTTTTTCCGTTGATAGGTCGAGGTATCTACTGAAAATGTGTACGTCGTTCTACAAGTTCCAAATGATGATGGGAATGAAATTGTCCAGCCTCAAGGAATATCCAAAAGATGGAGGTAAAATGAAATTTATTTTGACTATTATGTATTTCAAGAACTCTGTTTTTAATGTCATTGAAGTTTCCTTTACGAAAGTAGTTACGGTCTGCTGTCGACAACAATTGCATTAAGAAAACTGTAGCGTTTTTCATATTATGTCGACTCGATCGCCCCTATAACATTTGAGATACTGACTGTAAAGCAAGAAATTCAGTGTTCGGTAAAAAAATATTGTAATATGTGTTAATTGGACTCTTAACATAACCATCCTAGCAATAACGTTCGTTGAAAGAGATTAAAAACTGTGCTGTCGCAAGTAAAATTTTAAAGTGAAAACTGCCGGATCAGGAAGACTCAAAATGCGGCTTCATGGCAAAGCTTTGCATACAACGCGTGTCGGGCGTCGACGTCAACTTTATGTCGTCCGCTTAAAAGGTGAAGCTAGAATTTAAACAGATTGAAAAAATATAAAATCAGTACAGCTATACATGTACACAAGGTATTGCATTGAAACTTTCTTAATCTCAGTAATGTTTTCTTGATACAAGCTAGTAAACATGATAGATATGTCAACTCTGTAACACGTTGTACAAACTATACTTCATCTTAGCTCAACTGGAAATAAACAAAGCGTATGTCATTAATTCGTGATTATGACGGAGTTTGGATGCTGGGAACCATAGCTACGTTTTCCGTTTAATCGCTTAAACCAATTGTAACTGTAGAATTTCGGGAATAAAATTAATATTTGCGGATAAACGGGCCAACATTTGGCTTTATAAAAAATTACACGAGCGTACATTCCAAATGCGTAATTCATCTCCACTGAGGCAGCATCCTGGTTCTTCAATCTTAAAGTACCCCCTCAGACACCTTACTTGATACGTCCGCCACTAGCTACAGAATGACATGATTAATTCGTGACACCATGGTGCCACAGTATGATCATTAAGCAGAATTTCTGAGAATATATCTCTAAGTTTCACCCACATCTTACCATCGTGATGCAAAACTCCGTTATCCAATCAAAACTGTGTAAGCTGCTGTCCCTGAGTTCTTGAACTGTTGATCTATCTATGGGTTCACAAATGTATTGAAGAACTTTCTTGATTTCAGCTGTCTGTTTAATTTTGAATTCTTCATGATAATATTTTTGCTAGGTACAGGTTGTAGCAGTTGAGTGTTTGGATATAGCTCAGAAAGAAATCACGCATTATTTAAATTTAGGAAATGCGCGCCACCCCAGTGATATTACTTCTACTGCCGTGAAAAATTATTATCTTTTCTAGCTTGCAATTGTGTTTAATTAGAAGCGTATTGGAAACGTTTCCTTGAGATGACAGTACTAATATGACCTTTATTTCGCTTGACGTGACGTTTGGAACGGGATATAACTTCACTGTCTTACCGAGGATGTTGCAAATTCCTGTTAGAGAGTGGGACTGGAAGTCAAGCCAAAATAATCAATAACATTACAACAATGAAATATTTTCAAGTATTAAAAGGTGGTCAAATCATTCCTCCCAATAAAGGTTATCAGTTACGAGACAGCCGCATTTCCTTAAGTTTGATGACGTCCTTTTTGTGAGACAGTTATAGACCGAATTGATCCTAAGTGCAATTATTACACGCGGTTTCAGTCTTACGTGCATAGGCGGCATCTTTCGACCATCTCTTGCTCAGTTTTGACATGCCATCTTTCGACATGTATTGTAAACGGCTGAAAGACCGTTTAACTGTGAAACTGGCAATTTCTCCGGTTATTAGCGGAAGAATTGTCAAATAAATGATATTTCTGACCTCAAATGCGGGTTAAAAAAGATTGTGGACTTGCAAGTTTCCCGACTTATGGGATAATTCAAACGATCTGAGTGTAGGCGATCGACTCTCAATAGTGACGTTTCAGTAGAATTGGCCTACTACCGCTTTTAATATTCGAAAGATGTAAAAATTCAAAACAGTAGATTTATCTCTCACAGAATGACTTCTAGATTAATATAGTACAGTGAAAGCGGGTGTAAATTAATTCAAAGTGCGTTAATGGTCTTTTAGTGGTGAGGATGAATGGAGTGGTAAAAACAGACGAATCTGATTCCCTAGCCGGAGACATACCAGAATCGGCAGTGAGTAAGCCTGGGCAGGAGTCAGCGGTCATACAGCCACCTGGAATAGGTCCCGCGATTCATCTGAATGGGTCAGCGTGCCCAGTACAAGAAGATCAACCAGTACAGGTTCGTATAGATTGTAATAATCATAACATTGAAATACATATGGTGGAGTCTTTTCCTACCTATTTCCGTCTGCAATTCACTCTAATTCTAATTTACGTTTTTTACTCCCAAGCACTTATAGTACATTTAAAGATTCAAATATTTTCTTTTAAAAAAATTTATTTGCTCCTCAGAAAATTACGAGAGCAAAACATTATATTTATCAGCATTTTGTACAGATGGGGCCCAAGAGAAACCAATAACAGCATTGCGAAAAAACTCACTAATCACAATAATTTTAAATGATTACTTCCATACTATTAACAGAAAAGGTCCTTGAAGGTCTCGAAACACTAAAAGAATTATTTAGTCTCTATGTCACTGAGATACATGAACATTGATACGTTTCTTTTAGGTCAGCGTCCATCCTGTCCAGCTGACGAAAGTCAATGGAAGTCTTGGACTCAATATCATTGTGAGTATTTCGCTTCAATGGGCATATTTCTATATGCATTGACGAGCGCCGGACAGCAACCGATTAAGAAAAAGTTA